TTGTCCGGAAAGTTCGTGGCGATGTTGAAGGAAAATGGAAACGCAAAAAATTTAAATTTTAGTATACATTTATTAAATTATATAGGTTAGTCGGCACGAACTTTACGGACAACCCAATAATATCTTAATTTATTAATATTCAAGAACTGTTTGTTTAAATAGTAAATTAATTATTACTAGTTGTAGTTGCCATTTAAGAACATAATTTAAACGATTTATTATTTTCGTAAGTTTCTGTGGATTAAGTATATTTTAAAAATATAACATATGTCGCTTTGTGTATTTAATGCGCTATTAAGTTGAATTTGTCATTTAATTTTCACAATTAGAAACCGTAATAATAGTGTTATAAAAACGTTATCCATGAAACAGTATCCATGAAACAAACGTAAGACATGTTTAGATTGAAGTACGGTTTAAATATTATTAAATAAATAATAAAAAATAAACAAATTAGTCAGATAACGCTCGTTAGTTTGAAAAGCAAAAAATATGCTAATTTAAAGGACTGAGAGACAAGCAATTAAGATGTGTAAATAAGCAAAATAATTTTATAATTGTAAGTAATTGCAGTTACAATTATTAGTTTTCCATTAAATCACTTTTAACATCGTCAAGTCATTCCTCGTTGAGACCATAGATGTGATTTTTTAATATATATAATTGGAAATAGTTTCGAATCAAAGATCACATTAAGAACATATGACTTCTAGTATTATAACAAGGAATTATTTCACGATATTAAACAAGGTGATAAAATGAAAAATTGATAATTGTTGATGCCATTTATTCAAACTATAAAGTTATCATACCACCGAATAAAATCATAGTAAAATGATCTAAAATATAATTTGGAATATTTAAAGAAAATATTTTATCAGCACAATAGATGCAGCTCGGTTCTCAATTATTTAATTAAATTGTATTAATTTATAGCCTCATTTAATGTAATTCGTAGTATATTCTTTTATCTTTATATGTTTAACTACTTATATGTTTAATTACGAATTGATGATGACTCTGTGAATCAAAATGTTTTCTGCATTATCATACTTTTTTATTAAATCGTCAAATGATTTACTTATTTAAACACATCATCTTGTTTGTTCGTCTCTTGGTCGTTTCAATTAGAATTAATACAGATATTATGTCGTGTGTATGCTTGCATATCAAGTATGTGTGTGTGTTCTACTTATCAATTGCGTTGCAAAAGTATTGTATGATCGCAGAATGTTTAATTTCTTAGTCAAATCATCGTTATAGACACATTTTTACTGTCATAACTATACGGTATGGCGCACTTTGAGATGCTGTTTTTTCCCAAATATAACAAGAACACAACAATTTAATATACTTTAATATAAGTATTTAAAATACTTTAGAATCAAAGCGGTCATCAGAATCGATAAACATACTGATAAACATAATTTTGTGAAATCATTATTAGCTTTTGAAATTTACAAATAAATAGAAATTTAAAATGCATTATTTATTTTCAATAAAAAGTTTATTTAAAGTCAAATTTATAAAAAAGTTTGTCTATTCGAAAACAAACGCGATATTATTGAAATGATTCCACACAATATATATTTTATCCGTCTTTTATTATTAATTCAATGTTGTTTACTTTGTTTATTTTCAACATGTAATGTCGTAATGATGGCGCTAATGAATACATTTGAGCTATATAAAATAAATATTGGAAAAGAATATTCCATTTGAATATATTAATGTAGTACTTATTTCTTTTATTGGACTATATAATATATATATAATGTATTTAAAGCCGATTTCGCATAATGCTTATTTTTTTGCTGGATTAATCCGTTTTTCTGGAATATTCAAAGAACTTGAATTCTCAATAATAATATCAAATATGCATAAAAAAACTTGTAAAGTATATTATGATCTGATATATCTTTATCACAATAATGTGCTAGGTATCAGTATTGTATAAATTTTTGTTTATATATAAAAATACATAAGAAACCAGATTAATTTTAAAAAGATATTTAATTATAACATATTTATAATATGTTATAATTAAATACCTTTATATGCCTTTTTTTTTAAATTTAAGTAATCTTCATATTTTATCGTATCTGAAGTAATAAATTGCCACTAATAAATTTCTATCCGCTTCATAATTGAAGGAACTATGAAACTTACGCTTGTTTGATACATATCTACTAAAAAATACAAAACATCAATACTTCATGACGATTAATTTTTGAAATTTAGAAACAACTATCGCGTTTAACGATTAAGTAATTGAGAAATATTTTATTAATATAATTTAATTTTGTCGTCACACAAATTCAAATTAGACAGAAGCGTATTGACGAAAATAATTGTATTAATTAATAAATAAAAAATTAAAAATCTAATGTCATCTAAGTGACAAAAAATATAATGTAATATTTTCCAAATTCATCGGTTTTGACGTCAATTGACGAACATTTGTCGCTGATTGATTAGATATTTATGTATTTATAAGGAATGGAGTAGATTAATTATTTCTCAAAATTATTTTACTACAAAATGTGTAATATTTAAATAAAATATATTATCTCTAAAATAAGTGGAAATTAAAAATGGCATTATTTGCATGCACGGAAATTATACGTACAGTGGAGAAAATTCTAAACAGGAAAACTTCACGTGCAAACTTCGTTTGCTTATATTAGAATAGAATGTATTCATTGTATAAAATTTAATATTAATATTTATATTCGGCAAATAAAGCTTTTTTTATAAAAACTTGTTATATGAATATTTTTTGTATTCACTGTATACGCATGTATATTTGTGCATATATATTTGCATGTATAAAACATTAAAATATGGATAATGTATATCATGAAATTTATTCA